GGCTCAGAAAACAAAAACAAAAGTGGAGCCGCATTCCTGAAATAAGGGTAAGGAATCAGGCCTGATAAGGAAAAGACTGGGGGAAGAGGTGAGTTTTTGTTTGTTTTGGTACGGGGTTCAACTTGGGTCCTTGCGCTTGGGAGGTAGGTGGCAGAACAGTGAGCTAAATCCCTGGCCCAGAGGTGGGTTTAGAGAGTCAGAAAAGCCCTAAGAAAAGAGGGTTAGGATGTGGCTCAGTGTATGGACTGCCAGTCTGCAGTGCTGAGGCCCGGACAATGCAAAACAAAAGACTAGGTTTCTTTTAGTTGGGAGGGGTTGGGAACCTCTTAATTCCAGTACTCAGGAGGCTGAGGCAGGAAGATTGCCTTGAGTTTCGGGCAGCCTGGGTTCTGTAGCAAGACCCTAGCTCAGCCACCCCCAGCAGAACAAAAATAAAATTTTTTTTTTAAAAGAGGGAGCTTCTGGCTTCTTGTCCACAGTTTGCCTTTGTCACCTTCAACAGCAGCATTATATAAACTCAGGGCCCTTCTTGGCGTGTGCACAGAAGCTGCAGGGCCCCTGCACACCGGCTGGGGGGGGAGGGCTGAGATCCTAGGCCCAGGCCTGAGGCGTGCAAACCACAAACAAACAAACAAAAAACAAAAACTTTGACTCAACTGATACAGGAGGAAGAGATGTAACTCCCAAATCTGCTAGGTCTCCAGAACACAAGTTCCTGTTCCCCAAAATCGAAGAGTGAACTCTAGGAACAATAGAGGTTAAGAGTAGGAAAAAAATTACTGAGAGAAAGACAGCTTCTGTCTAAGAGAGACGGGAGAGGGACAGAAAATGGGTTATCTGCCGACCCTTTTTATCAAAGGTGTTTTACGGGACAGAGCCATGAGGTGAGGCAGGTTCAAGGTGGGACAAACTATGGTCAACCAGTAAGACTGCAAGTACAGTCGCCTGGGTAATGAGATCCAATGAGAAATCACACGGTGGATGAAACTAGGATCAACCAATAAGATTATGACAAGTGTAGTGGCTTAGGTAATATTGATAAATGGGGAATCCCATGGGGGAGCAAGTCACATAACAAGTGTACAAGGAACTGAGCAAGGATTTTCTGTTAAGGGGTGGGTCCGTGGTCTTTCCTGGAAGATCTCGGTCCCCCATCCAGGTGGTTGATACCTATTTAGAAATCGGTCACTGCTGTTCATGCTATGAGGATGGGGCGATTTCTCTCCTTTTACAATGCCGGCGGCCAGTGACTGTGTCTTAATTGTCCTCCACATTGGCCCTGCCTAACTACAGGATATCTCTTTTTTGTTTGGTTTGGTGTTTTTGAGACAGGGTCTCACTATGTACTTGATACTGACCTGGAACTCACTATGTAGCCCAGGCTGGTCTTGAACTCACAGCGATCTTCCTGCCTCAGCCCCCCCGAGTGCTGGGATGACAGGCGTGCGCGACCACGCCCGGCCTTACAGGATGTCTCTTAACCTACCTATCCACAGGATGGCCAAGATTTGAAACGTGCTCATTTCAGTTTTCTAGTAAGTCCCAGGATAAAGTTGACAATTCTGGATCTGTGCTGTACACAGACCCTTGTGACAAATCTGTACATGAAAAATTAATAATAATACATATAGACAAAGTCAGGGAAAGTCACTACGGGGAACACTCAGGGACGACCACGCTGTGCCTGGCATTGCCTCAGGTTTCTGACGAGGAAGCCGCGATCATCTTATTTTTTTCCTCACTTTCCCATTCCCTCTCCGCTCCATCTCTAGCGGCCCCTCCCATTTCCGCTTCACAGTCTATCTTTTATTTCACTCCCTGTTTATACTCTGCACTTCTCATAAAGTGCTATTTAAGTGTGTGTTTCTGATTGATTTCCCTTAGCATTATGGTCACCGGTCCCCTCCACTCTCCCACAAATGCTGCTTCTCGGCAGAGTAGTACTCCACAGCGTGTATAAATACCGCATTTTCTTTATCCACCCGTCCGCCGATGGACACGGAGGCCGTTTCCAAGATTTAGCTATTACAAGGCGTGCTGCTGTCAGCGTGGGTTATGCCTGGGTCACTGTGATACGACGACTTTACCTCTTTGGGGACGATTCCTCGAACGGGAACAGCTGGGCTAAATGGAACCTCTAGTTTAGAGTTTTTCTTTTTCTGGCACCGGGGATCGAACTCAGGACCTTGCCCTTGCAAGGCAGGCGGCGGCACCATGGAGCGAAATCCCCGGGCCATTCTCATTCTAGAGTGCCATGGAATCCCCGTGTGGTTTTAATTTGCCTTTCTTTGATGGCCGGTGATCTTGAACATTTTTTTCATGTATCTGTTGGCCATTTGTACTTCTGAAATGTCTGTTCATTTCAGTTGCCCATTTTCGGATCAGGCCTTTTATTTGGGGGGCATCTAATTCTTGTTTTGGCTTCTTTACTCTGGGTGCCAGTCCCCTGGAGTCATGGCAAGAGGTTTCCCATTCTGAAGGCTGTCTCTGCACTCAGATCTGTCAAACCAGAAAGCACTTGGGCTTTGGGCCCAGACTGTCTCAGGTGCAAGCAGTAACACTTCCTCTCACCATGGGTGCTGACCTGAGAGACCTTCTGTAAGACGGGGCAATTTAGAAAATGAAGGTAATCATTCCTACCTCAAAGGGTTGTTTAAGACTTAAGCTGCCAGGTACGGTGACACATGGGTATCATCCCAGGACTCGGGAGGCTGAGGCAGGAGGATCACCGCAAGTTCGAGGCCAGCCTGGGCTACACAGTGAGTTCAAGGGAGACCTGGTCTGAAAAAAAAAAAAAAGTTAAATCATTCATCATAGTCTGCTCCTCCTTTATCTTCAAGGACTCCTGAAACCCTGGAGGAAACCAAACCCAATATACTGAGACTTGGGGAGCTGGGAATGGTGGCACACTCCTGTAATCCCAGCACTCAGGAGGCTGAGGCAGGAAGATCACCATGAGTTTGAGGCCAGCTGTGAGTCCAGAACTTACTTAGTGAGACCATCTCAAAAAAAGAAAGGAAATAAATAAATCTGAATTCTGACCTTCCAGATTCGTGTAATTGTTAATATTTCCTATTATAAAGTATACATCTATAATACAGATATAATTCAATCTTATTATGCTGTCCATAATTAACTTAATATTTCATATTTTTTCTCGATCTTTTCCCATACTTTTTTACAATGCTACACAGTTTGGTTTGGTTTAGGTTGAGGTTTTTGTTTTTTTGAGACAGAGCCTCACTAAGTAGCTCAGGCAGGCCTCAAACTCATGGCGATCCTCCTGCAGCCTCCCCAGTGTTGGGAATACAGGTGTGCACCACCATGCCTGGGCATAGTGACATAGTTTTGCACTTTTTCACATCTTACATCATGAAAATTTTCTCAACAGAAGTCTCTTCAAAAACGTGATTTTATTTTTTATTTGTGCCAGTTTCCTAAAGTGAAGACATCGTAATGGATTTAACCATTTAACGTCTGTGGAACATTTACCTGTTTTCCTTTTCCACAAACTCTGCTGTGTATATGCTATTTTGTGTTGTTTGTTTGTTTGTTTGTTTGTTTGAGACAGGGTCTCGCTATGTAGTTGAGACTGACCCGGAACTCACTGTGTAGCCCAGGCTGGTCTCAAACTGACAGCGATCCTCCTGCCTCAGCCTCCCGAGTGCTGGGATTACAGGCGTGCGCCACCTCGCCTGGCCTGTGTATAGCTTTTAACAGAACGCTTGCATTTCTGAGATTTCTTCAGGATAGTTTCCTAGAAGTAATGTTAGTGAGCTACAGAACATGCAGGTTGGAATCCTGTCAATTGCCTAAGAATTGTGGGTCAAAGAGGATGGCCCAAGGAAAGCCTTTCCAAGAAAAACAAATACGACTGCCAAACTGCTTTCGAGGAGCCTTCTAGCCAGACATGAAGTGCACACCCCTGACCCCAGCTACTCCAGAGGCTGAGGCAGGATAACTGCCAAGTTTAGGGCCAGACCGGGACATTTAGGAGGGCCTTGTCTCGAAATTAAAAGGGGTCGGGGCTGGAGCTTGGTTCTAAGACAGCTTGCCTAACGTGCCCAAAGTCCTGGATTCGCTCACCAGCACTGGACAACAAAAATTAAATAAGAAGAATTCTACCTTTGTGATAAATGCAAGATGAGATGTTGAAACGCTGATCTCTGATTAGTGAGGTCAGACCTTTTCCGCTGCGGTTCACAGTTCTTCAGGGAATTCCCGTTTCTGTACATTCATGTTTCTCATGCTGTTTCTTAGAATTTTTTTACAATATAAATATGTAATTATTTATTTTGGGGTTTGGGGGACAGGTTCTTACTATGTAGTTCACCCTTTCACTCTCTACGTAGCCCAGGCTGGCCTCGGGCTCGCGGCGATCCTCCTGCCTCAGCCTCCCCATCACTGGAATTACAGGCGTGTGCCACCACGGCTACAACATATATTGCCAAGCCATCCGTTTCCTGGCCCATGCGCGCTGAACACCGGCAGAGGCCCACAAAAGACAGGCTCGCCACGCGGGAACCTCGCAGCCCGCCTCCATTCCATATGGCGGAAGACGAATTTCCACGCACCCCGCGGTGAGAATTGCTGCAAAGGCGTGGGCTCGCCAGGCCTCGGAGTAACATCTCGCGGGATCTTGGCGGTCCGGGGGGAGGGGCCTCCAGCCAGACTACAAATCCCAAAATGCAACGCGCCTCGAGTCCCGAATGAAAGCTCGGGGCTAAGGTCATGTGTTAGCCGGCATCAGGCGAAGAGTCATCGCTCCCAGGCCTTTTTCTTCAGCTTCCACCTTGGTCGCCATTTTGTGCGCGAGGTTGTGGAACCTCGGAGTCCAGCCGACTCTATGGTCCAGCATTTCGGCGCTCCGACCAATCCTAACCTAGATCTCGAAGGAAAAACCCGCCTTTACCCGCAAGGAGGCGGGAGTTGCCACGAAGCTCCTGTGGCGAGAGAGGAAGAAGCCAGGGAAGGCCAATGAGAAAGAAAGAGTCGAAGGCACCGGCCAATGGGGACGCGGAGGGATGGAGACCAATGAGCGCCGAGGGAGCGCGGGACACGTGGGACGGGTAGCCCAGCCTGAGACCCAGGGCTAAAGCTGCGAGGTGAGTCAGTCACCTTGAGCCGGAGAGGGCTGTGGCCGATCAGGGGCGGCGGGGCAGTGGGAGCGCAGGTGATGGTGCCGGCAGCGGGCGATCG